AAGCGGTCCAACGCTTTATCGGCTTCGCAAACTTTTATAGAAAGTTCATTAAGAACTGTTCGGGCCTTTTGTCCCCTATCACCCAGCTGACCAGGCAGGGGGTTCGCTTTCAGTGGACACCTGAGGCACAGAGGGCTTTCGAAGCCTTAAAAGAATTGTTTACAGCAGCTCCTATTTTGAGCCACCCTCATTCGTCCTTGCCATATATCTTGGAGGTAGACGCATCCGAGAATGCGGTCGGGGCGATCCTGTCCCAGAGGAAGGGCATCAAAGAGCTTGTGCACCCGGTGGCTTTCTTCTCCAGGAAACTAACTCCTGCGGAAAGGAATTATGATATCGGGGATCGGGAACTCTTGGCGATCAAGGTGGCACTAGAGGAATGGAGATACTTGTTAGAGGGGGCGGTACACCCAATATTGATTTTCACGGACCACAAGAACCTAGAATATTTGAGAACAGCTAAACATCTGAGGCCACGTCAAGCCAGGTGGGCACTGTTCTTTTCACGGTTCTTTTTCCATATAACCTATAGGCCAGGGTCTAAGAACACTAAACCAGACGCGCTCTCCCGCATGTTTGGGGATCCCGAAGAGAGTCCCAAGCCAGACACTATCCTGTCCCCAGGGAATTTCCTAGTCCTCCAATCGGAGCTCCATTCTAAATTGCAGACCGCGTCCGTAGGAATGCAAGGTCCACCAGATGTCCCCTTACTAAATAGGGAGGGACTTCTCTGGAAGGAGGATCAGATTGTGGTCCCCGAGGAAGCCCGTACATTGGTATTAGGATACTGCCACGATCACCCGCTGGCCGGGCATTTTGGGGTACGTAAGACCTTGGAGCTGCTGCAGCATACTTTCTGGTGGCCTAATATGGCCAGAGAGTGCGAAACTTACGTAAAGACCTGTCCCGTTTGTCAGAGAAACAAACCCACTAGGAATAAAGCTTGGGGTCTCTTGCGTCCATTACCAATACCTGACAGACCATGGAAATGATTTCCATTGACTTTATTGTGGAACTTCCACCCTCTAAGGACCACACAGCAATCTTCGTGATTGTACACCGCCTGTCCAAGATGGCCCATTTTGTACCTCTAAAGGACACACCTACGGCCCTTGAGACAGCACGTGTGTTTATTAAGGAAGTGGTAAGACTCCACGGAATTCCCAGGGATATTGTATCTGACAGAGGGGTTCAGTTTACATCTAGGTTCTGGAAAGCTCTATGTGAAACCCTGGGAATTAAGCTATCATTCTCCTCAGCTTACCACCCACAGACCAATGGCCAGACGGAGCGTACAAACCAGACCCTAGAGCAGTACCTCAGGTGCTATACCACCTTCCTCCAAGATGACTGGTTTACTCTCCTGCCACTTGCGGAATTCGCATATAACAATGCGAGTCACTCTGCTACTAGACAGTCCCCGTTTTTCGCAAACTATGGGTTCCACCCTGTATTCCTGCCAGATCTGATCCCGGAGGTCGCAGTCCCGGCCACGCAGGATATGTTGAACTTTTTGTCAACCAATAGCAAGGTATTGCAGGAAGCAATGGCAAAGGCCCAGGGTGACAATAAGAGGGCATTTGATAGGAAAAGAAGAGGGGAATTAAGTTTGCGGCCAGAAGACCAGGTTTGGTTGTCCACCGCAAATTTAAAAATGTCCTGCCCTTCGAAGAAATTGGCTCCTCCCAAATTCTTGGGGCCTTTCCGGGTCAAACGTAAGATCAACGAGGTAGCATACGAGCTTGCACTGCCCGAGTCTATGAAGGTTCATCCGGTCTTCCACGTGTCCCTGTTGAAACCAGCAACTCCAGACCCCTTCCCGGATCGAAGGTCTAAACCACCGGAGGCAGTAAACGTGGATGGGGAGGAGGAATTTGAAGTTGAAGCTATCTTAGATTGTAGGAAACGGGGAGGCCAAACTCAGTTTCTGGTTAAATGGAAGGGATATGGGGCGGAGGAAAATTCATGGGAGCCGGCCCAAAATGTGCACGCCCCAAGACTTGTGCAGGAATTTTTTCGGAACCAGCCGTTAAGAAGGGGTTGGTTGGGCATCTGGAGGTTGCCCGTAGGGGCGGGGGGGAAATGTCAGGGATCCCGGGCTCACGGCGGTGTGCGCATGCACAGAGCGCCGATTGGTCCAAGCCGGCGAGCACAGAGTCCTCGGCGATCGCGGCGGCCGCGCATGCGCACTAGCGATCGCGGCCACACCAATGGAAGAATAGGGCGCTCTATTTAAACTTCCCTGTGCATATCCAAGTTGCCGCAAGGTCTTGTTCCTGTTCCTGTAAGTACGCTTCCTTGTTGCCAAACTCTGCCTGTTCTGATTACGCTGACCCTCTCCTGCTCTGACCCCGGCCCGTTCCTGACCATCCTTTTGCCTGACCCTCAGTACCGCGCTGCCCGCTACCTGCTGAACCTGGCTTGTGACCCCGACCATTCTCCGCTTGCTCCCCCTGTACCACACTGCCCGCACGATACCGACCCGGCTAGTCTGACCTCGCTCACTCCTAGCAGTCACCCATCCATCCCGCTCGGATCGGGATCTGTCATCCCATCCATCCCGCTCGGATCGGACCCGTCATCCCCTTCACAGCAGGCTCATCCCGGGCACATACCCTCAGCAAGTCCATCCCCACCATCAGGGGCCCTGGTGAAAAGGCAGACTGGGACTTAGACTCCGCGTCCTGGGAAACCCTGTGCTGTGGACCACTAGAGATCCCGTTGGGCGGAGCCTGACATGTACTGTCCACAGTTTCTGGTCATCCCCTGTACTGTCCGCAGTCTCTGGTTGTCAGGAATGGGCCATCTAGTGTACTGTGTCCGCAGTCTCTGGTTGTCAGGAATGGACTGGCCAGACCCCAGCAATGGTGGGACTCACCTGTTTTTGATCTGCAGTACCTGATCTGGGCTGGCCAGCGGCTCTCTCCAGCAATCAGAGACCCTCTGTACTACGCTGCTTGCTACCTGTTCTGATCCCTGGCTTGCTGTACTACGCTGCTTGCTACCTGCTGAACCTGGCCTGTGACCCCGACCAACGCTTGCTCCCCCTGTACCTACCTGGAACTGATTATGCTGGGGCCTGCCTGACGACGCTTGCTTGTATGTACTGTTATCTGTGGGTGGTTGGTTTGGTTTGTTTGCACTGTATTATGTTTTAGTATTGCACTGCGTTTATGTTTGTATGGTTAGTGTTAATAAATTATATTGTTTATAACATATCTGAGGTCTGCGTTTCCCTGCGTCAGCCACACACCTCTGGTCACACCTGGGAGCCCTGACATTACACCAAGGCCAATCCTGACCAGAAGTGGCTGCACAGGGAAGCCATCTTGGCTTGTTGCTGGGAAGGATGGATCTGGATGAGGTTGTGTATTTATATCTGCTAGTGTTTGATGACAGGGAGTATGCTTATCAAACGCTGAAGGAGTATCTCAGGGATCAACTACTAGAATGTATACGGCTAGCTCATGTTCTAGTAGATCAGGGCACAGAGTTCTCTGAGGTGCAGCCTTTGATTGAGGTTTGTGCAGAGTTGGTTTCATCTGGTACCCCCGAATGCAGGGATGAATTTTTGCCACCATTTAGTGCAGACCAGGTAGAGTCCCTGGTGTGGTTATTAGAGGATGATGTGGATTACTTTCTGGAGCGTTATTCCACATGTTCACCACAGACACTAAGAGATTGTATAAAAGCAGTGCAGTCATTGACCAGACAGGCTTTGTGTAAGCTCAGCTTTGTTCAACCCCTACTGCAGACATGGACAGACTTGTTGCACCCAGCCTCAGTCAGCTTACAAAAACCCAGTCCTGCTTCTAACTCCTGTATTCCCACCAGCTCCTCCAGTTACAGCCCAGTATACTTGGCTATCTACCGCATGTCAGTACCCTGTTCCCACTCACTGCACCTATCCTGCCTTTAACCCTGTAAAAAAGCCCTCTGTAGCAACTGCCCTCTCCTGTTCCATCCTCCAGTTTTTCTCTGTCTCCAGCTGCTCCATTTGTTTGCAGACCTGCGTTTACTTGCAGTGCTCCAGTAGTTAAAACCAGAAAAAAGCGAAAATTCTTTCCAACCAATACCATCCTGCCAGTATCCAAACCGGTGAACCTGCCTTCCGTTCGTGACTCAGCCTGAATCCTCTACTCGGCCTGAAGCCTGTACGCGGCCTGAAGCCTCTCCTCGGCCTGAAGCCTCTCCTCGGCCTGAAGTTTCTCCTCGGCCTGAAGCCTCTCCTCGGCCTGATGCCCTCTCCTCGGCCTGAAGCCGCTACTCGGCATGATGAACTGATCCAGCCCGACAATCCTATTAGGCCAGTTGACTCGATGCCCGCTGTTGATCCAGACGATCCGGTACCTGATCCAGTGCCCGCTGTCGTGCCAATTGACTCAGAGCCCGCTGTCATACCTGGTGACCCGGTGCCCACTGCCTTGCCAGATCACGCGGTCCCGCGCTGGCAAGCCAAATGACCTGATGCCTGGTGACCCAGTGCCCGCTGTCATACCTTGTGACCCGATGCCCGCTGTCGAGCCAGACAATCCGATACCTGATGACCCGGTGCCCACTGTCTTGCCAGACGACTCGGTGCCCGCAGTCTTGCCAGACGACTCGGTGCCCGCAGTCTTGCCAGACGACTCGGTGCCCGCAGTCTTGCCAGACGACTCGGTGCCCGCAGTCTTGCCAGACGACTCGGTGCCCGCTGTTCCGCCAGTTGACTCGGTGCCCGCAGTCTTGCCAGACGACTCGGTGCCACTGTCGTGCCTGGTGACTCGGTGCCCGCCGCTTCGTCTGGGGGCCCGAGACCTGTTGCTCCGCTGAGGGCCCGAGACCTGTCGCTCCATCTGGGGGTCCGGCGCCCGCCGCTCCGCCTGAGGGTCGTGACCTGTCACTCCATCTGGGGGTCCGGCGCCCGCCGCTCCGCCTGAGGGCCCGAGACCTGTCGCTCCATCTGGGGTTCCGGCGCCCGCCGTTCCGCCTGAGGGCCCGAGACCTGTCGCTCCGCCTGGGGGTCCGGCGCCCGCCGCTCCGCGCCTGAGGGCCCGAGACCTGTCGCTCCATCTGGGGGTCCTGCGCCCGCCGCTTCCGCCTGGGGGCCCCGAGGCCTGTCGCCCCACCCGGGGGCCAGATGTGCCTCTGCCCGGAGTCCTGCCCGATGTGCCTCTGCGTGGAGTCCTGCCCGATGTGCCTCTGCCCGGAGGGTCCAGCCCGATGTGCCTCTGCCGGAGTCCAGCCCGATGTGCCTCTGCCCGGTGTGCCTCTGCCCGGAGTCCAGCCCGGTGTGCCTCTGCCCAGAGTCCAGCCCGGTGTGCCTCTGCCCAGAGTCCAGCCCGGTGTGCCTCTGCCCAGAGTCCAGCCGGTGTGCCTCTGCCCAGAGTCCAGCCCGGTGTGCCTCTGCCCAGAGTCCAGCCCGGTGTGCCTCTGCCCAGAGTCCAGCCCGGTGTGCCTCTGCCCAGAGTCCAGCCCGGTGTGCCTCTGCCCAGAGTCCAGCCCGGTGTGCCTCTGCCCAGAGTCCAGCCCGGTGTGCCCTCCAGAGTCCAGCCCGGTGTGCCTCTGCCCTGGGAGTCCAGCCCGGTGTGCCTCTGCCCTGCCCAGAGTCCAGCCCGGTGTGCCTCTGCCCGGAGTCCAGCCCGGTGTGCCTCTGCCCGGAGTCCAGCCCGGTGTGCCTCTGCCCGGAGTCCAGCCCGGTGTGCCTCTGCCCGGAGTCCAGCCCGGTGTGCCTCTGCCCGGAGTCCCCCCGTGCCTGTGCCTCTGCCCGGAGTGCCCGGAGTCCAGCCCGGTGTGCCTCTGCCCGGAGTCCAGCCCGGTGTGCCTCTGCCCGGAGTCCAGCCCGGTGTGCCTCTGCCCGGAGTCCAGCCCGGTGTGCCTCTGCCCGGAGTCCAGCCCGGTGTGCCTCTGCCCGGAGTCCAGCCCGGTGTGCCTCTGCCCGGAGTCCAGCCCGGTGTGCCTCTGCCCGGAGTCCAGCCCGGTGTGCCTCTGCCCGGAGTCCAGCCCGTGTGCCTCTCCCCGGAGTCCAGCCCGATGTGCCTCTCCCCGGAGTCCAGCCCGATGTGCCTCTCCCCGGAGTCCAGCCCGATGTGCCTCTCCCCGGAGTCCAGCCCGATGTGCCTCTCCCCGAGTCCAGCCCGGTGTGCCTCTGCCCGGTGTCCAGCCCGATGTGCCTCTGCCCGGTGTACCGCTGCCCGGAGTCCTGCCCGGTGTGCCAGTCTTTGATATCCCGCCAGTTACCAGACCCGGGCGGTGGAACATTTTTCCCAGCTAGGACTGTTTGGAGCGTCCTGAGGCCGCTCCTTGAGGGGGGGGGGGGGTACTGTCAGGAATGGACTGGCCAGCAATGGTGGGACTCCCCTGCCTTTTGATCTGCAGTACCAGGGCTGGCCAGCGGATGCTCCCAGCAATCAGAGACTCAACTTTGCAGCCAGCTAACACCTGGAACTGATTATGCTGGGGTATTTAAGGGATGGCCAGACCCACAGACTCTGCCTTGGTGTTGTGTTTGTCCTGGGCCCTGTATCCTGTTTCTGTCCTGCATCCTGTTTCTGTTCCTTTGCTGACCCTGCCTGATCTGAACCGCTGCTGACTTCTCCTGCTCTGATCCCAGCTCGCTCCTGACCATCCCTCTGCCTGACCCTCTGTACCACGCTGCTTGCTACCTGTTCTGATCCCTGGCTTGTGACCCTGACCATCCCTCTGCCTGACCCTCTGTACTACGCTGCTTGCTACCTGCTGAACCTGGCCTGTGACCCCGACCAATCTCCGCTTGCTCCCCCTGTACCTACCTGCCCTATTGATATTGACCCGGCCTGCCTGATGACGCTTGCTTGTATGTACTGTTATCTGTGGGTGGTTGGTTTGGTTTGTTTGCACTGTATTATGTTTTAGTATTGCACTGCGTTTATGTTTGTATGGTTAGTGTTAATAAATTATATTGTTTATAACATATCTGAAGTCTGCATTTCCCTGCGTCAGCCACCTCTGGTCACACCTGGGAGCCCTGACACCGGTCATCTAGTGTACTGTGTCCGCAGTCTCCGGTCATCTCCTGTACTGTGTCCGCAGTCTCCGGTCATCTCCTGTACTGTGTCCGCAGTCTCCGGTCATCTCCTGTACTGTGTCCGCAGTCTCTGGTCATCTCCTGTACTGTGTCCGCAGTCCATTGGTTCATATTTTTTTTCTTGTTTTTCTCCTCTAAAACCTAGGCATGTCTTATGGTCAGGTGCATCTTATGGAGCAAAAAATACGGTACCTCTTACCATAAGCAATAAGTGAAGGTCTCTGTGTAGCAGCTGTAAAAGGGCAGTCTTTGGTCCTAACTCTTCAGATGGCTTGAAGTGAAATGTATCATTGGTGAACATAAGAGTAGCCCCAGTCATGCCTGCAGATAGCAATAAGGCTATTAGATAGTTGTATGGTCAGTTCTTAAAAGGCTCAGTTTCTCTAGCAGTCCCAGTGCTATAGCAGCTCACCATCCAGTTACACACAGTGATTATTGTGGTTTCTGCTCTGCACCTGTGTGACTCTGGTTATTAACACATCTGGATTCAGGCCTCCAGATCCTGTTCAGGTTGCTGTTATGCAGCAGTGTTAGTGTACACTGGACAATGATGCACACCCTCTGGGCTCTCTAATGGCAAGAGAAAGCTGTGTCCTCTACTGTCTGAGAAAATACATCTTTTTACCCTCCTCCTGGCAATCTCCCTCTGGGAAATGCAGTTCAAAAGCTTTTGATTACAGTAGAGTCTTTCTCCTCTGAACTACAGTTCCCACAGGGCAGTGTTGCCTGACTCAGTCTATTGAACTCTTCCTGCTCAGCAGCTCCCTCATCTTACGTATATAGATGTTAACCAGTTCAGCACCACAGACCAGCAGCTACAAAGAGCAGCTGCAGCCAGTGTTTCTTTCACTCTCCATGCCTAGCCAAGCACCCGGCTACATTTTAAACTGAAGAGTACAAAATTAATAGGAGAAAATAAAATTGCAGCACAATTTTGTGCTGATTCTTACCCTATCTAAAAGCTATCCATAGCATCACCCACATACTGGGAGTTTTTTTAAAGACTAATTAAACCTTTGACATGCTACTGCTATGTTTTCAATTGAATCTGCTGTGATTGTACCATTGATATGTTCAATAAAGAGCAATTCTGGTAGTTATAGCAGAGTTGCAGCTGAAAAAAAAAAAATAAAAGTCAGCAGCTACAAAAACTGTAGCTGCTGACTTTTAAAATATAGCCACTTACCTGTCCCTCGGTCCAGCAGTGTCCTCACCACTGCTGGTTTCACAGGCTGTCTTCTCTCCCTAGCACCGGCATCTTTAGAGACTCTGATCCATTATGCTCAATCTGCAGATCGGCTTTCTTTACAACTTACCTATTCTTGTAGCGGGTCCAGGACAACTGCGCATGTCCCGGTTTCTGGCACGATCAATCGATGATAGCAGTAGTTCTATCATTGATTGATCGTGCCTGAAACCAGGACATGCGCAGTTGCTTCAGGGGGACATCTACATGGGAGACACATCTTGCTGATACACCGGTGTCACCCGCAGGATTGTCCGCATGCAACCTATACGGGGTGAGACATAGAAGGGACGCTACAAAGAAATTTGTCTGTAATAAATGTATCATAAGCAGTGGCTTCCCGAGGCAGGTGCGGGGGGTGTGGTCCGCACCGAGTCACACGGACCACACAGGGTGACACCGGACCCGCTCCAAGAAAAGGTAAGTTGTAAAGAAAACCGACGATCCCCGCAGGATGGATCCGATCCTTCTTTCATAAATTTCTTTCATAAACTTTCTATTATTGATGTGATAAAAAATGGGATTTGTTTTACTTGCTGTAGCAATGTATTTCTCATATTCTATTTTACCAACCCTGTTTGCTCCCTTGAAAGGTAACCCTTCTACTTTTTTAAAAACCTGTTTATTCTCATGTATTTGTTTTCTTACACTGGAATTTAACAAAATTAATTTTGTTCTTTCATGCTTGCTCTCCAATGGAATGCAATAACTAATACACTTGTTTAATTAGTCTTTTCTTGAACTGGAGCGCCACCCAAAAGGGGAAGTTCCACTTTAATGCTTTGTCCCCCACTCCCCATTAAGGATTGGCACCTTTGGGGAGCAGGGGGGGTGCGTGCAGCTGAAGGTGACAGGTACCTGCTCCCACTTCCTCTGCGATCTCCTAGGTCAGTGGTGGGCAACCTTTTTTTTTTCAACTGAGCCAAATCTCGCCAAAACCACGATTGAAATTTATTTTGAGAGCCACATTTTTAAAACTGAAAATACATCCCCCATATAGTAGTTCACCCCCCATATAGTAGTTCATCCCCCATATAGTAATTCATCCCCCATATAGTAATTCATCCCCCATATAGTGTCAATTCACTTACCTTTGCTCCGCGTGTTCCTCTCGCCGTGTTCCCGCGCCGTTCCGGTCTTCAGGGCGGACTGTGAGAGGAGAGGAGTTCGTCACGCTGCCCCGCCTACATCCTGGCTGCCCCACCTACATCCTGACAGCCAATGTTTGCCACGCTCCGCGGGCCGTAGTTTGCCCATTGCTGGGCTAGCTGCAGAGTCCTGACTTTTGGGGCGGCCGCCCGAGAGGAGGGAGGGGGAGCGGGCGCCCGGCACACAGAAGAGCCGCATTAAAATGTGTAAAGAGCCGCATGTGGCTCGCGAGCCGCGGCTTGCTGACCACTGTCCTAGGTGATCGGAAGCGGACGTTTCCCTCCCCCCCCCCCACCTCCCCACAGTCTTTTTGGACATGTGACAGGTTCCAGAAGACTACTGGTCCATTCACAAAGCGCAGTGCCTTTCATGCATGCTCAGTGGGCACCCGGCTGTGAAGCCGGAAGCTGTCACAGCCGGGTGCCCACACTAAGGATGCCGGTGCCAGGGAGAGAAGACAGCCTGTGAAACAAGTGGTGAGGACACCGCTAGACCGAGGGACAGGTAAGTGGCTATATTTTAAGAGTCAGCAGCTACAGTTTTTGTAGCTGCTGACTTTTATTTTTTTTTTCAGCTGCAACTCTGCTATAACTAACCAGAATTGCTCTTTATTGAACATATCAATGGTACAATCACAGCAGATTCAATTGAAAACATAGCAGTAGCATGTCAAAGGTTTAATTAGTCTTTAAAAAAAACTCCCAGTAGCCCTGTGTGCACTTTATTACTCTTTGCTGTGTTGTTTGAAATTAATAGATCCAACAGAAATTTTATCTTTGTTGGAGCTTTTTGCTCGTTTTTGGTGACAGGTCCTCTTTAATAAGAAGCTGGTCTCACTTTCTAATACCCGGTGGCACCCACCATGCTATTTTGGGTCCACCAATGGGCAAGAGGAACCTTAGAAAAATGCTAGGGTGCATGCATGAGAGTGGTGACACCCCCAAAGGGCACCTTTTAAGCCTTCAATAGGCTGCAATTCTTGGAAGAAGAGAGAGAAGACTGCACTTTGAAATCTAACATTTTTCTGTTCTATGGAGGACTGAACATGAAAAAATAA